ATAACACAACTCAACGCCCACGACACTAAGAGCTGATTAGCACAATGCGTTCCTGGCACAATGCCCGCCGCAGGCGCTGTCAGAAAATAAAGCAGTGCGAAAGCAGTCTATGTTGGTCATGTAGGCCCTCCCCAAGTCACATTGTGGTTCCATTCAGGCTCCTTTATGGCTGATGTCGGGCTGAGTTGGGGTGCGCACAAGCAAAACGGAATGCTTTCGCGACGAACGATACCCAGTCAAATTTGAGTACAATTTGATAATTTGACTTTATTTGACTTGCTAAAGCCTTGTAAAATACAATGAAAAGTGAAAGCCAAGCTAAGTTAAACTAAGTCTAATTTGATCAAATTCGATTGTGTCCCCATTGCGGACTTAATCATGTGCCCGTGCCTCTCAGGGCCCCAACGGACTCCACCAGGGGCTCGCATGGGCCGAGGTCTTATGGACCTACGGGGTTCAGAGCTTGAGAAAACTCTTCTCGGATTAAGGGCCTGGGCCTCCCAGGGCCCCATGAGCTTCCCCGGGGTTCCACGTGGGCCAGGGCTTCTCAGCGCCTATGGGGTTCAGAGCAAGGGCCTCTCTGAGCCCATGGGGTTCTGAGCCTCCATGTGGGCCATGCCCTCTCTGTGCCTATGGGTCTGGTGTAGCCATATTTTGGGTCAAGGTTTTCGCGAAGCTGCATTCACGTTTCAACCTTTCTATACGATGCCGCGGCTGGGAGAGTTGCTGAAACCGTCGGAGGCCGAGCTGGAGGCCGCCAGGAGGGTCCTCGCCACTTGCAGCGAGTCTCAAGCACGTTCGAACATGGGTTGCTTTAGTGCGTGGGCAAAGAAAAACGGTGTGGATGACGTTTCAGCCATGAGGGGTGCTGATCGCAAGAACGGCCTCTTGATGCACATGGCCTACATGGGGCAGAAGAAGGGGGCCATCAAAACCATCGAGAGCGAGAAGAGCCAGCAGTTCGACACGGAGTTGGGCCGCCAGAAGACGTGGATGGGGGCAGAGAAATGGACGCCGAAGTTGGCCCTCAGAAAGGAAAAGCTTGGCGCGACGCCGTCGACCAGCATGGAATGCAAATGTTGGAGACTCGCCCAGATCCCATCACAGGGAGCAACGAGGATCCGCTGAAGGAGTACGCAGTGCCGACCGAGTGGATGAAGCAGCTCGACAACGAGAGGGTGTTGAAAAAGCAGAAGTTCGAGGCCAATCGCCCGGGCGCCGACGGGGAGGTCAACTTGCAGAATCTCAAGAAGGAGAAGAACGAGCCTGCCGTCGATGTGAAGAAGAGCCGCTGAGCCCCCAGGAGCAAGAGGAGAAGGATGCCACAGAGTTCATGGAGCCGTTGTCGCTGCAGAAATTGTCACGCAACTTGAACGACAAGATTTGCGAGATACACATGTTGTTGCCGCAGACGCAATCCAACCGTCTAGCAGGGGTGCTCGCCACCGACATGGAGAAGTTCGTGAAGAAGGCCAACACTGCGCACAACACGGTCAAACAGATGATGGCAGACCCTGAGAATATCAAGCGCGAGAACGTGCCCGCGCTCATCAAGAAGGCCAGCGAGATTCTCAAGGAGTACCTCGAGATCGAGACGTGGGCCTTGAACTTCGGCATCAAGGAGAAGGCGAAGAAGGGCAAGAAGAAGGTGCGCGACAGTGATTGAGTTTCGATTCGGCGTGCTTTCATTCGATGCGTGGTTCGTTTGGCATGACCTCGACGACTGCTACGTCTAGGCATTTAGCCTGCAACGCTGGTGTGGCGTGTGGAAACGCGCCTCAGCCGTCTTCAGAAATAGATTCTACGCGACTCTTTGGACATGAAGGGGTCTCCCAGAGGTCCAGAGGTCTTCCAGAGGTTCCCCAGGGGTCTCCCAGAGGTCCCAGAGGTACCCGAAGGGGTCTCCCAAAGGTCCCAGAGGTCTCTCAAGGGTCTCCCAGGGCCTTACAGGGTTTCCCAGAGGTCCCATAGGTCTCCCAGGGCCCCCCCAGAGGTCTCCAGTAGGTTCAAAGCTTAGGTCAAAATATGAAGTCGAAGTTAAAGTTAAAGTCAAAGTCGAAGTCATATTCAAGATGAGAATCAATAAACATAACAACAACCAGCAAGCGCAAATTTGTCTAATTTGACTTGGCGGTGTCTGTGTGTATGTCGTGCGTCTAGAACATTTAGGCTTTCTTCAGGCTCATATTTGATTTACTGAACAGCTGATTGCCGAGTTGACTTGCTCTAACGATTCGCGGATGACTTCTTCGGCCACCAGGGCCGAGCGGGTTGACATTTCTGACAACGGCGCAAAAGAGATATTCGATATCAATATTACAGGTGCCATTGCCTCACCTGAAGCTTTGTGGAATTACGATTGCAAGATTGGTGATCTCAAAGCTAAGCCAGATTTTGCAAAGATTGTACCGTGGCGCCAAACTATCGCCGACGTCCTTGCCAAGACAAAGGGCAATATGATTAACCAGACGTATGTCTCAAAGCAACTTGATACTTGGCTAAAACAATCTAAAGGTACTAAGCCCGATACCTTTGCAACGATTGAGAGGAGCGTCTTTAATCTACGGACGATGATTGGCCAGCTTCGCGCGGTGAAGCGTTTGAGTAAGAAGATTCCCGACAAGTACTCGAGCCTCCAATCGGTGCTTCATCTCATCGACGTCGCCGTGGGCCAGCCCGCGCCCACCATTGGCGACGTCGATATACAGGAACAACAGCCAGGAAGTCCACAGTCGATTTGCACGATCTCTAGAGAGAAATCCGGAGACAATTCAGAGCAAGCGGTTCTACCATACGAGCATGACGACAATGATATTTTCGAGATTGACCTTTTCAGAACTCCGCCACCGATGCGGAAACCAGCTTGTTCCCCAGCAGTGGCAAAACCGCAGCACGCGGTTCTTGGAGATACCAGCGCAACGCCGAGCTTGGCCACCCCCCGTGAGAGACGTTTGAGCTGCAAGACCCCCGACCCGAAGAAGCACGACCTTCTCAGTTCTACAGAGATGTCTGCTTTGGCAGACGCCCCCTACGAGAGGCCGAAAACTCCAGTCGAGCTGACCGCCCTCTTCAAGAAAGGCAGAGAGAACAATCGCGGCAAGAAGAAGAAGCACGACAAGCAGGGCAAGACGAGCAAGCAGAGCAAGACGAGCAAGCAGAGCAAGCAGGGCAAGGCGAGCAAGCCGAAGAGCAAGACGAGCAAGCAGAGCAAGAGCGCCGAGGCGAACACTGGCGGCGCGCCCGAGGAGCCCGCCAGCAACGACAAGCAGGCACCGAGCCGATCAAAACCTAAACGCCTTCTCGAAAAGAAGGGTATTACTGTGCCACAAACGTCGCAAACTCTGTCGGACACCATCGGGGCACCACCTACACTAAATCGGGACACCGTCGGGGCACCATAAGAACAGACATCCTTGGGGCACCTTCGGGGCACCATAAGTCTGGACACCGTCGGGGCGCCGTCGGGGCACCATCGGGCCACCGCCTGCATCAAATCGGGCAAAAAAAGGCAGACGACTCTGGCGTGAGCGAGAAGACACTCAAGAAGAGGATCCACTCTAGGGCTTGGCACGCTGAGACTACGAAGTGCAAGAGCTTGGGGATCGTAGGTGAAGAACTCCACTCTCGCCGCTCTGCCGCCGCTGCCTTGGCGCTGAAGAAAGCAGACTTTTAGGGAACCCAGCTTTTCCTCATCGTGCGGCTTGGGAGCCCGTGCGAAGTGCGAATGCGTGTCATTCGTTTGCAGTCAGCCGGAAATAAGACAAGGGCTTCGTTAGCAGTGATTTGGAATGTGTGCCATTCGTTTGCAGTCATTCGTTTGCAGTCAGTCAGTCTAGGGCTTGGCCGCACTCGGGCTTGCGCCACGATTCCGCCGACCCTATGCTATGCCATGCTGTGTTATGCCGACGCGAAACTATGCTATGCTATTTTGTGCTATGATATGCTATGCTGTGGTTACTTGAAACATGTGCGGGGGTGATCGTAACATATATTTCTATGCCCCGTATCCTAACTATATTTCTAGGCGCGGCGTGGCCCGTGGCCAGAGCAGCGCATGCGAGATTCATACGTATGCGTGTGTCTGCTCAAGCGCGTAATGCAATGTGCAACGACATACATATACATGCACCTGATACATCAATGAAAGTCTTACAATATATGTAAGAAAATGCCAGCTCTTGAACATGTTCTTAAGCACGAATACATAAGAAATCCGTATAAAACAAGGTTCAAAGTGAGTGTCTGGGTTGCGCGCCGTTTCGCCAGGGCCGCCGCCCACCCTGCCGCCCTGGGCCCCGGCCCAGGGCGGCCGCTCGCAAAGCGTGCCGAGTCCTGCAGCTCAGGCAGGACTGGCAGCGCTTCTGGCTGCAGGACGGCTGCCTCGGCGGCCGCGGCGTCGAGTCGAGGCGCGGGGCGTGCGCGGAGCGGCCCTTCCCCCCCTGACGTCGGAGGGCCTGCGAGACCTCCCCGGCGCGGGCCAGGCGCAGACCAGCTTTACCCGCGGCAGATGTCCCTCCTGCCGTTGGCGCTGCAGGAGCGGCTGCTGGACCTCATGCAGGAGTTCGAGGACGCCCCCTGCAAGGTCTGGGCCGCTGCCACCGTGGTTGTGTCCATCCCGAAGGCCTCGGGCGGCGTCTGGCCGACTGCGCTGCTTCCGCTGATGCTGCGGTTGAGGGGCCGACTTCGCCAGCCTGTGCGCAGCCCGTGGGAAGGGGCCCGCGAGTTCCTTCTCTTGCGGGGGCGCGGGGGCCGTGGGTGCGAGCGGGCTGGCTGGGCGCGCGACGCGGCCGCCTCGCGCGCCGCGGACCAGACGGCGGCGCGATGCACCATTTCAACCTGAAGCCATTGAGAGGGCTCCTGGCCTGCGGTGCGATTCTGGCGGGCTGCGCGTGCGCCGCAGCCCCGGTCAATCTGCCGATGTTGGATCCGCTCCTTACGATGACGGCGGGCCGCCCCCCAATCTGCCCCAGGAGCGCGTTCGACGACCCGCCTCCCCCCAGGCCATGAGTGCAGAGCGCCTAGCGGCGCAGCAGCTCAGCGAGGCGGGGGCCCAGCTGGCACCCACGCTAACGGCGCAGCACCTGCCAGCCAACGCGTCCAAGACCCACTTCTTGGCCAGCACCCCCTGCCGCGGCGCGAGGGCTGAAGGACAGGCGGCAGCGCCGTGGCTGGCGCAGGCCAGAAACCTCGGCACCGACGCGCGCATGGCGCGCCGAGGGTGGCAGAGAGCTCAGCTAGGGCTCGGCGGGCCTAGCGACGCGGGCGCAAGATGCAGAGCATGAAGGTGGCAGGTGTTCGTGTCGACGCTGTCTTCAAAGCTGGGCCGCCCTCCGGCTTCCTCTGGGGGAGGGCCGTCGTCGGCATCCCAGACGGCGACCTGCGCTGCATGCGCATCGCAGCGCGCAGGAGCGCAGAGCGACTGCCCAACGGGGCGTCTTTGCGGCTGGGGCTGCGCGCGGCCGAAGCGCTGCGCGGCAGGGACCTCGGCCCCGAGGTTCTGGCGGTGGGCAAGGCCGCGTCGATGGCGCCGGCGGCCCCGCAGAGCGGCGCCGTCTCGCAGTCCGCATTCGTTGCGGAGGTGAACCGAGCTACCATCGGCCAGCGTGCGGCGACGGCCCCGTGGGCGCAATGCAGAGCGCCCATCGACGCACTCATCCTCGCGCTCGGCCGCATCGGCTGGGGCGCGGGGCCGACCTCGGAGACGTCCTGGGCCTGGCCCCCCTCTGCCCCAAAGACCTCATGGTCGAGGCAGAGAGAGGGGCCCGGCCTGCGTCGGACAGGCGGGAGCTGGGCCGCCATGCCAGTGGGCGACATGGCCGCCCGCTCTTCTGGGGCGCCATCGGGGAGTTGATCGGGCCTTGCGGCCCACTGGGCCGCAGCGAGAAGGCGGCCTTCGCGTCCGTCTTCGCGAGCGCCCACTGGCCGCAGCAGCGCCTCGTGGTGGCCAAGGAGCGCGACCGCGGGAGCTGCCTCCTCTGCAGCGCGGTCATTGGCACGCTCTTCCACCGCTTGTTCGGGTGCCCTGCGCTGGAGGCCGCCAGGAGAGACAGCTGCTCTGGGCGCCTGAGGCTGCGTGCGCAGCGTGCGGGGAGGCGGCAGCGGAGGATTTCGCTCGCTGCTGGCTGCCAGCGCCCATGCTGCGCCTCCCTGGTCTGGGCAGTGACACGGTGGCCCGCTGATTTCGCAAGCCTGACGATGGCTTTTTTCGTGACCGGTTGTTTCTGGGAGGGTCCGCGCTGGAGCCGACGCACGCAGCGACCCGACGCGCGGGCTGGGCCATTCGCCAGGTCAGCGAGAACGGCATCTTGGAGGCCACCTGTCATGGCACCGCGCGGGCCGACCTGTGCCCGCAGCGGACGGCCACGGGCGCCGAGGACTTCGCGTGCTGGGTGCTGACCGAGGTCGCTGGGCTAGGGCGCCGCGTCCTGCGCGTGGACTGTGCCTCCACGGTATCTTGCCTTAGGCGCGGGCGCCAGTGCGCCACTGGCATTGGCAGACCCGGCGCCCACCTCTAGAGCAGGTCCTTCGCAGTCTTCGGGCCTGAGGACTACGAGGTCCGCAAGGTGCAGCCCCGCCTGACATGGGAGCAGGTGCTGGAGGGCCGCGTCTCGGAGCTGGATGCGTGGCAACAGGACCTCATGGTTGAAGCAGAGAGAGGAGCTCGGCGTGCGTCGGACAGGCGGGAGTTGGGCCGCCATGCCGAGGGCGGGCGTCATCGCCACCCGATTTTGTGGGACGCAATTAGGGAGTTGATCGGACCCCGCGACTCCATGGGCCCCAGGGAGAAGGCGGCCTTCGTGTCCGTCCTCGCGAACGCCCACTGGCCGCAGCAGCGCTTCCTGGCGGCCAAGGAGCGCGACCGCGGGAGCTGCCTCCTCTGCGTCGCGAGCAATGGCACGCTCTCCCACCGCTTGTTCGGGTGCCCTGCGCTGGAGGCCGTCAGGAAAGACAGCTGCTCGGCGCGCCTGAAGCGGCGCGCGCAGCGTGCGAGGCAGCCCGGGGAGGCGGCAGCGAAGGACTCCGCCCGCCATTGGCTGCCAGCTCCAATGCTTCGCCCTCCTGGTCCGGGCAGCGACATGGCGATCCGCTGTTTCCGCAAACCTGACGATGGCTTCCTTCGTGGGCGCTCGTTCCTGGGTGGGTCCGCGCTGGGGCCGACGCACGCAGCGACCCGCCGCGCAGGCTGGGCGATCTGTCAGGTCAGCGAGAACGGCATATTGGAGGCCGCTTGCCACGGCACCGCGCGGGCCGACCTATGCCCGCAGCGGGCGGCCATTAATGCCGAGCTCTTCGCGTGCCGGATGCTGACCGAGGTCGCTGGGCTAGGGCGCCGCGTGCCGCGCGTTGACTGCGCCTTCGCGGTCTCCTGCCTGAGGCGCGGGCTGCAGTGCGCCATCGGCGCTGGGCGACCTGGCGCCCGCCTCTGGAGCAGGTTTTTCGTTGTCTTCGGGCCTGGGGATTACGAGGTCCGCAAGGTGCCAGCCCGCCTGGCGTGGGCGCAGGTGCAGGAGGGCCGCGTCTTGGAGCTGAAGTGGCGCGGCAGCAGGTCCGCGGACATATGCGCCAAGCTCGGCGCTTCGCTCCGCGCCGCCCCATCGGGAGGTGCTGGTGCACTTCAAGGCCTTCGCGCTGGTCGTGGCGGAGCTGGCTCGTTGGATCGCGCGCGCGTCCATCCTAATGCAGCAGGGCGGTCTCCGCGACGCGCAGGGCCTGCCTGAGGGGCAGGATGGGGAGACGGCCCGTCGCGGCGTTCGACGGCGACCCGAGCAGCCGCCCCGCCGAGGCGGCGGCCACAGGGTCGGCGCCCAAGCGGGAGCGTTCCACGGCATCCGCGGCGACGGCCCTCGGCCTCGGAGCGGGGCCGCCCATCGTGCTGGGGCGCTGCCTGCGCTGCGCCTTGGCCGACGGCGCGGGCGAGGGCACCGCTGAGCGCCTGGTCAGCTGCAGTCGCTGCGGTGCCGACGCCGACGTCGACGGAGGCAGAGGGCCTAAGCTGCGCGCGGAGCGCCTGGGGTGCCCCCCCGGGGGCCGAGGGGCAAGGGCGGGCGCGGCCAGCTCGGCCTCTGGGGGCGCGGGCAGCACCCGGGAGGGCGCAGAGGCAAGGAGAAGGCCATCAGGGGCCCTGATGGCCTTCGCCAGCTGGACATCGCCAGCGAGCTGCGGGGCGACATCCTGGCCTGGTTCGGCGCGCTGCCCGAGGAGGCGGCGCCTGCGGCGCCCGTCGGACCCGCTGGCCGCGAGGGCGGCGGGGGAGGGGCAGCCACCTCCTGCGCGTCGTGCTCGTCGCCAGAGGGCGGGCCGCAGGCAGCCGCCGGCCCTGTGCGTGGAGGTCCGCGCGGAGCCGCTCATGGACGTCCAGCGGCGGCCGTGGCGTCCAGCGGATCGGCCGCGGCGGCGATCAGCCGCCCAGAGGCCACGCAGGCGCGCGGCCTGGACGAGGCTGGCATGGCCGACTGGGCGGGCGAGGTGGAGGCGGCGGAGGAGCGCAAGCGAAGGCGCCTCGCGTGCCCCCCTGAGTCGTCAACTCAGGGGCGGCGAGAGCGCGGCGGCGGTAGGCCGCCAGCGCGAGGACTTCGCGCGCTGCCCGCCCACCTCGGGCTGCAGCACCTTCAGCGAGCCTTCGCAGAACCAAAAGGAGTCTGGCGAGATGTGCGCTGTCGCGCTCTGTCCGCACCCAAGGTGCGTGGCCCTGTGGGGACTCTGAGGCTCTGGCCCTTTACCATCTGGGCCCCCATGGGTGGGTCGGGGCCGCGGTGGCCCTGGGGCGTGGCCCATGGTGGCCTGCCCTCCCTCTCTTTCTTTTGTTTCTCTGGCTTTATGCCCTCGCAGCCTTAGCTTCAGCATGGCAGACCACAGAAGCACGGCGCAGCAGCACGGCAGACCGGCGCGGCAGACCACAGCACCTTGGCAGACCAGTTTGGCAGACAACAGCAGCACGGCTGACCAGCACGGGAAACCACAGCAGCACGGCAGACCATAGTTAGCAGCACGGCGGACCGCAAAAGAACGGGGCAGACCACAGGATCACCGCAAACCACAGGAACACGGCAGACCACAGGAGCACGGCAGACCAACGCAATGAACCGCCAGTTGTTCGTTAGTCGTTTAGTTTTATCTCCGAGTTTCAGTGGCGCTCTCATATGAACATTATCTAAAAAGCTTCTAGGACTAAAGGGGCGCTTCCCATTCTTGTCCTGTCAGGTTTTTGCGTGACATCTTGTTGCTTGTGAATTACCACCATGTGTTTTTTTGAAATTGTTCCCAACCGTCCTGTGGTGTTGGGTCCTCGTTTTGAAGAGACGTCGCCCCGCGTTCCTTCCTCCTCCTCCTCCTTCCTCCTCCCCCCCTTCCTCCCCCCTCCTCCCCCTCCCACGCCCATTCTGGCACGCCCCTCACACGTTTCGTGGCCCCATAGGGAGCTCCACCGAAGGCCCCAGTGGCTGCGCCCGCATGCGGTTCCACCCCCCATTCTGGCACACCGCTCACACGTTTCGTGGCCCCGTAGGGAGCTCCACCGAAGGCCCCAGTGGCTGCGCCCGCATGCGGTTCCACCCCCCATTCTGGCGCACCCCTCACACGTTTCGTGGCCCCATAGGGAGCTCCACCGAAGGCCCCAGTGGCTGCGCCCGCATGCGGTTCCACCCCCATTCTGGCACACCCCTCACACGTTTCGTGGCCCCATAGGGAGCTCCACCGAAGGCCCCAGTGGCTGCGCCCGCATGCGGTTCCACCCCCCATTCTGGCACACCCCTCACACGTTTCGTGGCCCCATAGGGAGCTCCACCGAAGGCCCCAGTGGCTGCGCCCGCATGCGGTTCCACCCCCCATTCTGGCACACCCCTCACACGTTTCGTGGCCCCATAGGGAGCTCCACCGAAGGCCCCAGTGGCTGCGCCCGCATGCGGTTCCACCCCCCATTCTGGCACACCCCTCACACGTTTCGTGGCCCCATAGGGAGCTCCACCGAAGGCCCCAGTGGCTGCGCCCGCATGCGGTTCCACCCCCCATTCTGGCACACCCCTCACACGTTTCGTGGCCCCATAGGGAGCTCCACCGAAGGCCCCAGTGGCTGCGCCCGCATGCGGTTCCACCCCCCATTCTGGCACACCCCTCACACGTTTCGTGGCCCCATAGGGAGCTCCACCGAAGGCCCCAGTGGCTGCGCCCGCATGCGGTTCCACCACCCATTCTGGCACACCCCTCACACGTTTCGTGGCCCCATAGGGAGCTCCACCGAAGGCCCCAGTGGCTGCGCCCGCATGCGGTTCCACCCCCCATTCTGGCACACCCCTCACACGTTTCGTGGCCCCATAGGGAGCTCCACCGAAGGCCCCAGTGGCTGCGCCCGCATGCGGTTCCACCCCCATTCTGGCACACCCCTCGCACGCTTCGTGGCCCCATAGGGAGCATCGAAGGCCCCAGTGGCTGCGCCCGCATGCGGTTCCACCCCTCCATTCTAGCACACCCCTCACACGCTTCGTGGCCACATAGGGAGCTCCACCGAACGCTCCAGTGGCTGCGCTTGCATGCGGTTCCACCCACCATTTCGGCGCACCCCTCGCACGCTTCGTGGGTGGCTCCATAGAGAGCTCCACCGAACGCCCCAGTGGCTGCGCTCGCACGTGGTTCCCCCCCCCCCTTCCACCCATTTTGGCCCACCCCTCACACGGTTCGTGGCACCATAGAGAGCTCCACCGAAGGCGCCAGTGGCTGCGCCCGCATGCGGTTCCACTTCCTTTTTTCGGCACGCCCTTCGCACGTCTCGTGGCCCCATAGGGAGCCCCACCGAACGCAGCAGTGGCTGCGCTCGCATGCGGTTCCACCCCCCATTTCGGCACACCCCTCACACGCTTCGTGGCTCCATAGGGAGCTCCACCGAAGGCCCCAGTGGTTGCGCTGGGATGCGGTTCCACACTCCATTCTGGCACACTCCTCGCACGCTTCGTGGCCCCATAGGGGGGCTCCACCAAAGGTCCCAGTGGCACTGCCCGCTTGCGTCCGCCACCGCCCAGCACAGCCCTTGTTCCCTGCGCTTCACCCACCCAGAACAGCGCTTCGTAGCCCTATAAGGGAGCTCCACCAAAGGTCCCAGCGGCACCGCCCGCATGCGTCCGCCACCACACTGCGCAGCCCTTGCTCCCTGCCTGCGTTTCACCCACCCAGTACAGCGTTTCGTGGCCCCATAGGGAGCTCCACCGAAGGTTCCAGTGGCACCGCTCACATGCGTCCGCCACCACGCAGCACAGCCCTTGCTGACCGCGTCTCACCCACCCAGTACAGCGCTTCGTGGCCCCATAGGGAGCCCCACCGAAGATCCCAGTGGCACCGCCCGCATGCGTCCGCCACCACCCAGCACAATTGCGGCATTCACAATTGCATATGGTTGGGTCCTTCGCCAGGCTAATTCCCAACCGTCCTGTGGTGTTGGGTCCTCGTTTTGAAGAGACGTCGCCCCGCGTTCTTTCCTCCTCCTTCCTCCTCCTCCCCTTCCTCCCCCCTCCATTCTGGCACACACCCCACACGTTTCGTGGCCCCATAAGGAGCCCCACCGAAGGCCCAAGTGGCTGCGCCCGCATGCGGTTCCACCCCCCATTCTGGCACACTCCTCATACGTTTCGTGGCCCCATAGGGAGCTCCACCGAAGGCCCCAGTGGCTGCGCCCGCATGCGGTTCCACCCCCCCATTCTGAGACACCCCTCACACGCTTCGTGGCCCCATAGGGAGCTCCACCGAAGGCCACAGCGGCTGCGCCCGCATGCGGTTCCACCCCCCATTCTGGCACACCCCTCACACGCTTCGTGGCTCCATAGGGAGTTCCACCGAAGGCCCCAGTGGCTGCGCCTGCATGCGGTTCCACCCTCCATTCTGGCACACCCCTCACACGTTTCGTGGCCCCATAGGGAGCTCCACCGAAGGCCCCAGTGGCTGCGCCCGCATGCAGTTCCACCCTCCATTCTGGCACACCCCTCACACGCACCGAAGGCCCCAGTGGCTGCGCCCGCATGCGGTTCCACACACCATTCTGACACACCCCTCACACGTTTCGTGGCCCCATTGGGAGCTCCACCGAAGGCCCCAGCGGCTGCGCCCGCGTGCGGTTCCACCCCCCCATTCTGGCACACCCCTCACACGTTTCGTGGCCCCATAGGGAGCTCCACCGAAGGCACCTGTGGCTGCGCCCGCATGCGGTTCCACCCCCCATTCTGACACACCCCTCACACGTTTCGTGGCCCCATAGGGAGCTCCACCGAAGGCCCCAGTGGCTGCGCCCGCATGCGGTTCCACCCCCCCATTCTGGCACACCCCTCACACGTTTCGCGGCCCCATGGGGAGCTCCACCGGATGCCCCAGTGGCTGCGCCCGCATGCGGTTCCACCCTCATTCTGGGACACCCTTTCACACGCTTCGTGGCCCCAGAGGGGGCTCCACCGAAGGCCCCAGTGGCTGCGCCCGCATGCGGTTCCACCCCCCATTCTGGCATACCCCTCACAGGTGTCGTGGCCCCATAGGGAGCTCCACCGAAGGCCCCAGTGGCTGCGCTCGCACGCGGTTCCACACTCCATTCTGGCACACCCCTCACATGTTTCGTGGCCCCATAGGGAGCTCCACCGAAGGCCCCATGGCTTCGCCCGCATGCGGCTCCACCCCCCCCCCTTCCCATTTCGGCACACCCTTCACACGCTTCGTGGGTGGCCTCATGGGGAGCTCCACCGAACGCCCCAGTGGCTGCGCTCGCATGTGGTTCCCCCCCCCCATTTCGGCACACCCCTCACGCGGTTCGTGGCCCCATAGAGAGCTCCACCGAAGGCCCCAGTGGTTGCGCTCGCATGCGGTTCCACAACCTTTTTCGGCACGCCCTTCACACGCCTCGTGGCCCCATATGGAGCTCCACCGAACGCCGCAGTGGCTGCGCTCGCATGCGGTTCCACCCCCATGTCGGCACACCCTTCACGCGCTTCGTGGATCCATAGGGAGCTCCACCGAAGGCCCCAGTGGCTGCGCTGGCATGCGGTTCCACACTCCATTCTGGCACACCCCTCGCACGTTTCGTGGCCCCATAGGGTGCCCCACCAAAGGTCACAGTGGCACTGCCCGCTTGCGTCCGCAACCACCCAGCACAGCCCTTGTTCCCTGCGCTTCACCCGCCCAGAACAGCGGCTCCGTAGCCCTATAGGGAGCTCCGCCAAAGGTCCCAGCGGCACCGCCCGCATGCGTCCGCCACCACCCTGCACAGCCCTTGCTCCCTGCCTGCGTTCCACCCACCCAGTACAACGTTTCGTGGCCCCATAGGGAGCTCAACCGAAGGTCCCAGTGGCACCGCTCGCATGCGCCCGCCACCACGTACAGCGTTTCGTGGCCCCATAGGGAGCTCCACCGCCCAGTGGCACCGCTCGCATGCGTCCGCCACCGCAGCACAGCCCTTGCTGACCGCGTCTCACCCACCCAGTACAGCGTTTCGTGGCCCCATAGGGAGCTCCACCGAAGGGCCCAGTGGCACCGCCCGCATGCGTCCGCCACCACCCAGCACAATTGCGGCATTCACAACTGCATATGGTTGGGTCCTTCGCCAGGCTAAGTTTTTTCGCCCGCGAGTTGGTCCCACTTTTTTTGCATCGATTATGTTTGCCAGCGAATTGAAGCCATGTGCTTTCACATGGATGCCTGTCGCTCTTGCGCTGACGCCAAGTGTTTTGCATGGGTCACGTTCGCTCGTGGGTTGGAGCCAGGTATTTTGACATTGGTTATTTGCGTCCGCGAGCTGAAGCACTGCATTTTTCCCCAACCATCCTGTGGTGGTGGGTCCTCGTTTTGAAGAGACGTCGCCCCGCGTTCCTTCCTCCTTCTTCCTCATCCCCCCCTTCCTCTCCCCTCCTCCCCCTCCCACACCCATTCTGACACACCCCTCACACGTTTCGTGGCCCCATAGGGAGTTCCACCGAAGGCCCCAGTGGCTGCGCCCGCATGCGGTTCCACCCCCCCATTCTGGCACACCCCTCACACGTTTCGCGGCCCCATGGGGAGCTCCACCGAAGGCCCCAGTGGCTGCGCCCGCATGCGGTTCCACCCCCCATTCTGGGACACCCTTTCACACGTTTCGTGGCTCCATAGGGGGCTCCACCGAAGGCCCCTGTGGCTGCGCCCGCATGCGGTTCCACCCACCATTCTGGCACACCCCTTACACGTTTCGTGGCCCCATAGGGAGCTCCACCGAAGGCCCCAGTGGCTGCGCCCGCATGCGGTTCCACCCCCCATTCTGGCACACCCCTCACACGTTTCGTGGCCCCATAGGGAGCTCCACCGAAGGCCCCAGTGGCTGCGCCCGCATGCGGTTCCACCCCCCATTCTGGCACACCCCTCACACGTTTCGTGGCCCCATAGGGAGCTCCACCGAAGGCCCCAGTGGCTGCGCCCGCATGCGGTTCCACCCCCCATTCTGGCACACCCCTCACACGTTTCGTGGCCCCATAGGGAGCTCCACCGAAGGCCCCAGTGGCTGCGCCAGCATGCGGTTCCACCCCCCATTCTGGCACACCCCTCACACGTTTCGTGGCCCCATAGGGAGCTCCACCGAAGGCCCCAGTGGCTGCGCCCGCATGCGGTTCCACCCCCCATTCTGGCACACCCCTCACACGTTTCGTGGCCCCATAGGGAGCTCCACCGAAGGCCCCAGTGGCTGCGCCCGCATGCGGTTCCACCCCCATTCTGGCACACCCCTCACACGTTTCGTGGCCCCATAGGGAGCTCCACCGAAGGCCCCAGCGGCTGCGTTCGCATGCGGTTCCCCCCCCCCCCATGTCGGCACACCCATCACACGCTTCGTGGCTCCATAGGGAGCTCCACCGAAGGCCTCAGTGGCTGCGCTGGCATGCGGTTCCACACTCCATTCTGGCACACCCCTCGCACGCTTCGTGGGTGGCTCCATGGGGAGCTCCACCGAACGCCCCAGTGGCTGCGCTCGCATGTGGTCCCCCCTCTCATTCCGGCACACCCCTCACACGGTTCGTTGCCCCATAGAGAGCTCCACCGAAGGCCCCAGTGGCTGCGCTCGCATGCGGTTCCGCCCCCTTTTTCGGCACGCCCTCCACACGTCTCGTGGCCCCATAGGGAGCTCCACCGAACGCCGCAGTGGCTGCGCTCGCATGCTGTTCCACCCCCCATTTCGGCACACCCCTCACACGCTTCGTGGCTCCATAGGGAGCTCCACCGAAGGCCCCAGTGGTTGCGCTGGCATGCGGTTCCACACTCCATTCTGGCACACCCCTCGCACGCTTCGTGGCTCCATAAGGGGGCTCCACCAAAGGTCCCAGTGGCACTGCCCGCTTGCGTCCGCCACCACCCAGCACAGCCCTTATTCCCTACGCTTCACCCGCCCAGAACAGCGTTTCGTAGCCCTATAGGGAGCTCCACCAAAGGTTCCAGCGGCACCGCCCGCATGCGTCCGCCACCACCCTGCACAGCCCTTGCTCCCTGCCTGCGTTTCACCCACCCAATACAGCGTTTCGTGGCCCCATAGGGAGCTCCACCGAAAGTTTCAGTGGCACCGCTCGCATGCGTCCGCCATCACGCAGCACAGCCCTTGCTGACCGCGTCTCACCCACCCAGTACAGCGTTTCGTGGCTCCATAGGGATCTCCACCGACGGTCCCAGTGGCACCGCCCGCATGCGTCCGCCACCACCCAGCACAATTGCGGCATTCACAACTGCATATGGTTGGGTCCTTCGCCAGGCTAATTGTTGTACGCCCGTGAGTTGAAATTGCGTGTTTTCACCCTGTTTGTTGTCGCCATTGAACTAAGACATGTTTTCATACGGTGTTGACGCATTTGAGTTGAAACCATGCGTTGTTGTACCAGGTTCGGTTCTCGTCTCGTTTCGTCTTGTTTCCGCTCGTCTTGTTTCAGATCGACGTGTTTCGGATCGCCACGTTTCGGTCCGTCCATTGTCGGTGTGTGTGTGTGTGGCATCGGTTTTGGTTCGACCCCTGGTTCGCCCCGCTTAATGACTGCATGTTGAGCGCCCAGCACGTTCCAACTGAAATCAGCTCTGGACGAACCATGCGATCAGGTAGGTCAAACTTCAGATCCACATCATGTCGGTCAGGATTCGGATGCTAGGGACGCATTCGTCCACAATTCAATAGAAACACAGCTCATATGACTTCGGCATGACACCTCTCAATGCAGCACGGCACAACACAGCACAGCCCCTGGCACGGTACACCACCATTGGTACTTCCGACATTGTAACTACCCGTCGCCCAATCAGGTGTTTTGAACGCGCTTCCACTATTGTCCTGTCCAGGTTGATGGGTCCATGTTTGGGATGGCGGAACAGTGGACCGCGGAAGAACATCTCGGTGAAAATGTGTGGTTCTGGCCATCGTACGTATTCGGCGGCAGTACCACCACCCCCAACCAGCGGCTGCGTGTGATCGTGGAGGTTGCGTGCCGAATGCCGACCCTCTTTTAGTTTTGCGGTTGAGGTGCCGGGTGGTCCCAGTACAGGGGAGCGCAGGCTGAGCAGTCCCACCGTGTTGGGTCCGCCGTAGGCGCCCCCGACGCTCGGAGCGCGACCCCTTCCCGATGCTATATGAGATGAGTTCCTTCTGGTAGCTCCTTGTTGCTTCTCTCCCTGAACCCTCTCCGCAAAACACCCATGGGCATCATGGCTCAGGTGTTGCCGAAGCTAATTCTGGTCATAGAGCGGCGACACCATGAGGGCGCGCTAGGACAAGCACCAGCCCTTCCTGTTGTCCCCTCGGGACTGTCTACGTCGGCGGCTCACACCCAGCCACCCGCGAGGAGGAGGAGGAGGAGGAGGAGGAGGAGGAGGAGGAGGAGGAGGAGGAGGAGGAGGAGGAGGGAGGCACATGTTCAATCTGGATCCTAATCAGGGGGGCGAACCCGAGAATCCACTGCTGTCATGCCCACTTTGCGCAGTTTTTCTGCCAGTCATGCGCTGACTATACGATGTACGCTGCCAGCTACACTGTTGCTGCGTGTTTGCCGGCCATTTTCAGAATGCCAGGTCATGTTGCATGCTTTTTTGTTTGCCGTGGATGCTATGTTCCAGGCGCGCACCACTGGCGGATTTCATCCGCGGGCCCTTCTCATCCATGTTCACTGTCATCCGCGGTGGACAGTGGAGAGGGGCGCGAGGGCTGGCCAGCAGGACTGTGCCGCAGGCCCGCACACCTCGGTGCAGCGACGGGGGCAGTACTTGGAGGGGCGGAGAGGCCGAATGGAGACTTCACAAGACTCAGGGGCAACGTGGGGGGGGAATAGGCTCAGGGGGGAATGCACCGCCCCCGAATTGTGCACTCATAGCCCGCCCCGCCCAGGAACGTAGGGTTTCGCTACCAAGAGCCTCTCGCCGATCTATCGGCTATGTATCGTCGATTCCAGGTTGATATTCCCCCCCCCTGGGCCAGTTCCCCCCCCTTTCGTTGATCCTTCGCAGGACATCCCGACCATCTGACCTCCGGCAGTTGTGCCCAGTCGCATTCTGAGCACGCGCTCTCCGCGCACCGCCGCCAGGCCACGATCAGCAGCCACATCCAGCAGCAGGCGAGGCAGGCGCTGCTGCAGGCCACCCCGCGGGGAGATGTGCCCGCTGCGGGCCGGGTGCCGCGGGCCCGCCGGCCTGCTTCAGAGAGGGCCTCCGCGTTGGCTCTCCTTCGCCCCCGCGCCCTCCCCGCGCCCCGCCGCCCCCCCCCCCCCCTCCTGCCTTCGCTCTCTCGCTGGGCCGACCTCCCGTCGCGGAATTGTTCCAGAGGGTGAGCATTTCGGGCACTGTCTCGGCAGCTTGCGGGCAGACAGCCTCATGACCCCTCCTCATCCCCATCCTTGCCCCCACCCCCCCTTCCTGGATGGATTCTGCAGACTCTAGTCAATGCTGGCACCCGCCTGAGGCGTAGGAGCCAAGCGAACCGATCGTTTTCGCGCCGCGCTGCATAGTTGAAACAACAAGCTGCGGCGCGATACCGCCACCTAATAGACCTCCCAAATCATCCTGGGTCGATCCAGCAATGACATTCCATGGATTCGTATGGGTCACGTGCTGACATCCGTTCCTGGCAGTAACAAGCTGGTCAGGGTGGGACATGGCCTGCTGGAGCACAGCAATTATGCGGTCAGCATTTGTGGATGATGCGTCACACTTGATGTTTGTGCTTCCAGATTCGGACTGGCGTGGCGCACTGCAGCGCGAACTTCGCATGGAATTCAGACCGAGGCGGCTCAGAGGCCGATCGTAGGTCTCTGAAGCAAAATGTGAAGCAAGCATAATCAGGTGTGGAGTGTGTGTGTGTGTGTGTATCTTCCTGCTGGCGGGGCACCTACTGCGGCCCCTTTCGCCATTTCGCGGAGTTGCCAGCCTGGCGAGGGCTCGGTCGGCCTCCAGGCCGCCTACCTCGTCCGTCTTTCCACATTGCGCCTGCTGCCTCTCTAGCCTTTTGGCCTGCGGCCTCCAGGGGCTGCGGTGGTATCGCCCTCCCCTCGTCTCCCGCCGTCGTGCGGCGCTTTTCTGATCCCTCCTCAGCTCGTCCCTCGGGCTGTCGCCCAGGTCTCGCCCTCTCTCGTCGTCGGGTCGTTCTCTGTTGCTCCTCGTTGTCCCTCCCCCCGGGTCTGGGCTCGTCCTGGCTCCGGGTGTCGCTCCTTTTTCTGCTTCCTGCTGCCGTGCTGCTCTTCCAGGTACTCCACCAGATTGCGGGCACGCCGTTTCTGGTGTTGGGAGGGCCGTTGCAGGTGCTGTCGGCACGCCGCCCGATCGTGGGCGCACTTGGGGCCTCTGCGGGCTGTCTGGGGCCTCTGTGGGCGGCGTGCTGGGGCCTCTGTGGGCGCGTGCTGGGCCTCTCCTCTCTCCTGGCGCGCTGCTTGGGGCCTCTGTGGGCTGCCTGGGGCCTCAGTGGGCAGCGTGCTGAGACCTCTGTGGGCAGCGTGGCGGGGCGACTGGAGCGATTGCATACCGTGACCAACGCGCACAGCTCGGCAAGCGTGACCGGCGTGACCAGCCCGACCGGCACGACCAGCGCGACTGGCGCGACCAGCACCATGGCGCGACCGACGCGACTGGCATGACCGGCACGACCGGCATGACAGGCGCGACTGGCGCAGGCGGCGCGACCGGCGCGACCGGCGCGACCAGCGCGACGCGCGACTGGCGCGTTCCATCTGTCGGAGGCGCAGCAGTGTGCAGGCCGTTTGGAACCAAGGCCCGTTTGATTTTGTTGCCAGGAGTTCCATACTCCCGAGCCCTCTGGACTTACAGCATACCAGTGGCTCGGAGGTGCCCCCGCTGGTGTCTGCAGCTGGGGCGGATGCTTCGTCGCCGAGCGTGAGCCCTGGAACCCTGGCCTCTAGAGCGCCCTGAAGGCTCTCTCTCTCTCTCTCTCTATATATATATATATATATATGTATATGTCACATTTCACATGTTCAGGCATAGCCCATCCTGGATCCCACCGCAACTGCCGCGCTCAAGTCTTAGAGGAGAGCGTTTGCCCGATTCTATGCGTTCGCAAGGGCTCGGCCTGCGTCTCATCTGTCACATCGGCGCTCAGGGCGTCGCGCGCTGGTGGTGGTCGACGCCCGCCGCGCCCCAGCCTCCGCCCCGGGCGGAGCCGCGTCCAGGGCCTGCTCGCGAGGCGCCGCTGGACGAGGACGGGGGCGAGGTCACCCGCGCGCCCTTGTCCGAGTGTCTGGCCGCGGCGCTGGGGGCCAAGGGGCCGGCGCTCAGCTGCCCGGACCCGCGCACACACCGCCTGCGAGGCAGGCGAGACGAGCTGGACCTTCCAGCTGGGCGTCGGGGTCGTCGCCTACCTGCTGCTGGAGGCGCTGAAGGCGGCGCCGCGGCTGGCGGGCGGCGCGGCGCAGGCTTGCTGGCCCCGGCGGCGCGCGGAGCTGACGCGGGGACCCCCGCCGTGGCTGGAGGGCCCCGAGGCGCCAGACTTCGCGAAGCTCGCGGCGGAGCAGGCGAGGGCCAGCCAGGGCCGCAGCCAGTGCCAGGCCGCCGGCCATCTCGCTGACTGCTGATGGCGGGCTCGTTCTATTGCGCGCGGCACAGAGTGCCAGGGCCCGCGCTCTGGCATGAGAGGCCCGCAGTTGGCGAGCGCGGGGCCCCCCAGCTATATCCTGACGCCAGACTTCGACGACTACGACGAGCCGAACGCTCCAGGGCCCGACGTCGCGGAGGCGGTGCCCCTGGCCGGGCATGGAGGCAACCCTCTGGCCCTGGCGGCCGGGCACGTGCACCTCTTCAGGCGCCCCCCGACGGCCGCGGAGGCCTGGGGCGCCGCGGGGCGGGCAGTGGCAGCGGGCTACCCCCCTCCGCCTGCATGGGGCCGCTGCTACTGGACCTGGCTGCTGGCAACGTCCTCGGGCTGGCCGCCGGGCAGCGCCCGCTTGCCAACCCCGCGGCAGGCGCGGCGCCGGGCGACGCAGCACTGGCGGGCGCCGCGGGCGCACCAGGCGCGCCAGCGGCTCCGGGCGCGCTGGTACCGTGGCGGCGCCGGCTGCGGCTGCTCCGGGCGCTGCCAGGGCTGCAGGGGAAGGCCTTGCCGGCCTCGCGGCGGCTCTGGGCGGGCCCGCTGCCGGAGCGGGAGCGGCGGCAGCGGCAGGCGCGCCGGCGGCCGCAGGGGCCTTGGCTGCCCCCGCGGCCGCGCCGCCCGCGGCGGCACCACCCGCGGACGCAGCACCCGCCGTCGCCGGAGCCGCTGCCGGAGCGGCGCCCGCGGCGCCGGCTGTGGTCGGAGCGGGGCCTGCCGCCCTCAACGCGCCTGACCTGCGCGTGCTGGCGGTCACCCACGACGGGCGCGGGCAGCGGTTCTTGGACTTCCGCGAGGGCGTGCTGGCTCAGTCCGAGCGCGCGTGGGCTGACTTCCCAGTCCGCGGGCCCTGGACTACGCACTGGGTGTTGCAGTGCATCCAGCGGCACGGCGGCTCCCCGCTCGCGCGCCACTCGCGCTGGCGGACCGAGATGGGGTTGGATCCAGATGACGCTGGAGTCGAGGTGCACCTGCTGTGCAGCCGCCTCTTGGAGACCATGATCTCGTACGATCAGCTCAACGCATGTGATCTGGCGAGCGGTGAGCTCATCGCGAGGACGCTCCAGGTGCAAGAAGAGCGCTACCGCGCCCGCAGCGCCTCCGCCGAGCCTGAGAACATCAATCGTGATCTCATGATGGGAACTAATGAGGTACGAGGCGACGTCTGCGTGGCCCCCGCCCTGCAACAGCACGCGTCGGCAGAGCTGGCTCGCGAGGCGGCTGTGCAGAAGGAGCTGCGGAAGGCTCGCGAGGAGCGGCAGCTGGCTTCAGGGGCTTCGGGCAGCAACAACAGGGACAAGGACGAGAAGGGCAAGAAAGGCAAAAAGGGCGAGGGGTGAGTGCACGCCAGGTGGAGGCTCGGGACCCGGCCTCCACCCGTGATAGCCTTGAAGGGCTGCAGGGTCCACCCGGCCCCCTGAAGGCCAGCGGCAGCGAGCGTCGTCGGGAGCTTCCTGATGGGCGACAGCGTGAAATTTTCCCTCCACGTATTCCTGATGCCCTCGCTGCCCTACCTGCCCCAGTCTCTGTGTCGCGTGCTGTGCGTCGTCGGGTTCTCCGCGGTGAGCATGACAAGCAACTCGCTCGCGACGCCATCAACGCTCTCAATGAGACCTATGGCTGCACCTCTCACGGCAGTGAACTCTCGAATGCCGGGCAGCGTGCCGCCGTAGATAATATCATTGCAACCTGCCGCGCGGTCGGGGCCCCCCCAGTGGACCCGCCTGCATGAGCAGCATTCTTTTTCCAAGGGAGCCCTGTCGGCGCTCCTGGACGGCTCCGCACTTTACTCGTCAGACGGGGGTGCGGTTGCATGCTTCCAGCGAGACCTAGTCTCGTGGCCCTCTGAGCAGGTGGATCCGGTCCCACTCGAGTCGCTTGCTTCTGGGCCTGTTTTGAAACAGTTGGAAGCCTGGCAGCGCCAAATGCCCCGCCCAGAGTCGGAGGCACGGGCCCTGCAAGAAGAAGTCTGTCCACGGGGGCCTCATGTGGATCCCGCCCCCGAGAATTCGCCGCGGCGGCATGCTGAGTTTTTAGCAGGTATGTCTTCTCGGGGGACGTTGTCCTGGGAGCGCGCCACGGGGCGGCAAGGCAACTTCGGTTTGTTTTTTTGTGAAGAAGAAAAGCGGCGCACAGCGCATCATTTTCGATACCAGAGTTGCGAACTGCAGGTTCGTAGATCCCCCCTCGACTCGCCTTCCGCCCCCTTCTGCCTTCGCCTCTCTGGAAGCCGAGGGGGGGCCCTGAATATGTTGCGAGCGGGGATCTGGATGTGGCTTTTTACCATATGCAGCTGCCTAAAGGAATGGAGCACATGTTTAGCTTGCCCTGTATAGATTTCCTTGTACTTACGGAAGTTTCACATACCTGGAGTCCCTGACGGGGCCGGCGTAACGATGTTACCATGCGTGCGAGTATAACCGATGGGCTTCTCGCGGGCTCCCCATCCATGTCAGAACGTCTTGGAAGGGGCCTTGGACAAAGGGGGCTTCAGGAGGGGCGAGCAGGTGGTAGACGGCAGGCCTGGAGTGGTTCTTAGGCTTC